GGTGGGGAGGGGAGGATTGGTGGGCCGTCTCCACCCTGACTTCTTGCTTTTATTTTTATTGTGTGTGTGTGTCTGTGTGTGTCGATGAGTGCAAAGCGAAGAGCACGCTGCGCTTTTCTGAAGCCTGCTTTTGCTCAAAGTGTATGTGTATGCGCTTCTTTCTATGCCTGAAGGTGTCATCAAGCCTCCACCTCCTCACGACACAGTCCGATGTGGCACAAATTACACTGTCACTTTCGATACATTCAACAAGTTAGCAGAACAGAACGGGAGAGACACCGCTTGTACTTCATCTATAAGGTGTTTTTAAACAAAGCCGGGCCGTTTTGGAAGATTTTTATTTTTGAGAGTGCAGTTCAGGTAAATTTGTTTGTGGTTTTGGGGCAGGCAGTTTTAGGTCATGTCAACTATGAATTCCATAAAATGCATTTGACGAAAGCAAAAGGGTAGATTTACGGCGTTCTAAGAAACATCAATTAATTTTAACAATTTAATGCACGTTTTCTCTAAAAACGAACAAAGGAGACTCATTTAGTTTGGATTCCTATTTCTGTCTTTATTAAAGGAAAGCTACACTGCCAGTTGTTTTGGTCCAAAAAAAAATGTGGCAATTCAGATATTAACTCTGAAACATTCACGTGCACGCGGGCTGGTCTCAGCCAAAAATGCCAGGGTCATTTTTGAGTGCTAGTCCAGCCTTGGTGATGGCTCGCATCTTGAAAAACCCTGAGGTCGGCTCACTTGAAAGTCAAATACGACTGTATTTTTGAGTCAATGGCGGACTCTGATTAGGTCCCTAATGTAAGAAAACGCAACTTGTTTAATCTTGCTTTTGAAATTTGAAAGTTATGGGTTTTTTCGTACAAGAATGAAATTCTACCCCCACATCACCCAAGGGCCAGCCCCCCTCAGGATTGTTCTATGAAGCTTTCATCATCAAGTTAAAAGTGGGCAATGCCTGAAGTCTCTCACTTCAATCCCAGGCAGGCAGTAGCGAGCGAGCCAAGGACCTCAGGTGAATGCTCTAGTCTCAGAGGGATAATGCTTGCCTTTGAATGGATGGCCTTGTGTGTGTTCCAGGAGCAAAAGCAAATAAATGCGAGAGAGGCAGCAGTGTCATAAGACAGAAGGGCCATTGATGCTCAGTGCTTTGAGACCTTCAAATTAGCTTCTGGCAAATCATGGAAGATTTCCGGGCATTGAGACCAGAGCTTGTGCTCATTTCTCACCATTTTTTTTTTTTATGCGTTCCGATACAGTTACTAGTTACCTGTTATAAATTATAAAATGTATTTAGTCACATAATCCAAGTAACCTAATATTAAAGTCATGTTAACTGCTAATACAGTTATTACTCTTGAATACTTTAATTACTTCATCACAAATACCAGACATCCATTTTCAACACCGCTTTTCCTGAACAGGGTCACGGGGGGTTGTGGAGCCTATCCCAGTTGACTTCGGGCGGAAAGTGGACTACACCCCAAATTGGTTGCCAGTCAGTCGCAGGGCACATATCCAAACAACCATTCACATTTACATCCACATCGTCACCGATTGGGAACCGATCCCACGTTACCTGCACACAAGTCAGGCAAGTGTACCGCGACACCGTCAGTGACTTCCATCCCAAATAGGTTTTAAAAAAATCCAAACAAACAACAACAACAAAAAAATCAAGAGGATTTTTACATATTTGCCTAGTTTTTCTGTCCTTTGGTTGTTTAATATGCATGGTTTTGGAATGCCGGAGGAAATCTGAGCACCACAATTCAAATCCAAAGCACAAGAACTATGAGGTAGGTAACCATTTGTTCACCATGCTGCAGAGATGGATGGATAGATAGATAGATTAATGGATGGATGTTTTCGAACTATCCTTGAAGGCAACACCTCATACAAATCAATAGCTAGATAGATAGCTAGATAGACATATAAATAGACAGGGTGAACATAGCCAGCTTGTTTCCCGTTTTAAGGTAGCAGCTCCCCTCCTTCTCTTTAAATTCAATGAAGGTGAGACATGTAATCTCCTCGGTGGATGGACTCGCTGTAAGAAGATCGGTGCGTACAATGTACATTTTAAAGGAACTGTACGAAGATCTCCACTTGTGGATGATGTAAAGTTGGCCGCTGTACAGTGAGCATATGGAGACAGCCTTCCACCGCTGTTCGTGCATCCGTGTGTGACAACGCCCACCTCCGCCCATAGTTGTGTCACGGTCAAGTGGGCACTATCAAAAATATATTTTAAGATAACAATAGGAATTAGTTCAATCAATTGATTTCTTCAATGAATCAAAGGGATTATTCCAATGCCCTTTATATTTATGATCGAAATACACTGACGCCCACCACACACATCCACGGAGCTCAGAATCTGTCCGCCTGCATCTCGGTCAAATCCACCAAAATCAATCGTGTTACACCACCTGCACCACAACTTTGACCTGCTTTTATATTGACTCGGATCTAGTCTACTCTCTGTCCACAAACTGTCAGGTGCGCTGTGGGTGTGTAACAGAAGACGTGTGATCTGAAAATGATCGTGCCCCAGCACGAAAATGAAGATGTGACAGTATTTACATTGAGTGAACATTCATCTGTCTATTAAAATAGAGCCCTATATGTCCTCTTTGATAAACTAAATGTACCATATATGAAAGGTTTCCCTGCATGGAGTTGAGTGTTTTGATCAGGCTGTCACCGATAAAAGCCAAATGTGAACATAAGAAAACGCAGCCGCCCCATGAACGCACACTATTTGACACTATGCTCATTTCTGACAATTTTTCTGGAGTAGGATGTCTCGTTTTCAATTTGGGTGATTCTCGCTGGAAGTTTTGAAAATGAGACCTTTAGATGATTATTCCTTTGGAATGGGAGGGATTTTCTCTGTTCGTTATTTTGAAGTTTTTTTTTTTAAATGTGGGAGGACGTACCCGGAGAAAACCGGGTAAAACACCAGAACCTCGTGACTGTGTGGCAGACGTTGTAACCATGAACTGGCAGTTCTGCCCCATTTGTGGATGGCTAAACCTTAAGTCCCATTTGCAAGCACAATGCAGAACAGGCAAACTCCTCACTGGAAGGACTGAGATTTGAAACCAGAACGTCTCTACTGTGAGGCAGACGTGCTAACCGCTCCACTAACGTGCTGCCACTTGTGTTTTGTTTAGTTTTTCAAGAAAATGTTCTTTTTGACTCGTGGCAATTCAGTTAAGGTTCACAACCTGTTGAGGCTTGATGTAAATATAAATAAGCATTTCCGATGCAGAAACCATTTGCTTTGGTCATCTTTGTGGGTAAAAAAAAGAAGAAGAAATAAATGATAGCATTTTTAAAAAAATCCAGTTGTCAAAATGTAAACTTTCCCCATCACCTTAACGCGCGCTCAGACAGACACCTTGTCTGGTATTAAAAAAAGCGATTATCTCACCGTCAAAAAGTGGATAGGCGTCAAATCCGAGCCGGGACGAAAAGCGCCTAGACGGCGGTCCATCCAGCGAAAAGAAGCGGCGGGCAGCACCTCCTCTGCGGACGGATCGACAGCTTCCTCCTTCGCCGAGGAGCAGAGCGCATCCAGGCTGCTGGATGGATGGAGAGAGACAAAGAGAGAGGCTACTATCGTCTGTCCGGTGGGGAGGGCAGGATTGGTGTGCCGTCTCCACCCTGACTTCTTGATTTTATTTTTATTGTGTGTGTGTGTCTGTGTGTGTCGATGAGTGCAAAGCGAAGAGCACGCTGCGCTTTTCTGAAGCCTGCTTTTGCTCAAAGTGTATGTGTATGCGCTTCTTTCTATGCCTGAAGGTGTCATCAAGCCTCCACCTCCTCACGACACAGTCCGATGTGGCACAAATTACACTGTCACTTTCGATACATTCAACAAGTTAGCAGAACAGAACGGGAGAGACACCGCTTGTACTTCATCTATAAGGTGTTTTTAAACAAAGCCGGGCCGTTTTGGAAGATTTTTATTTTTGAGAGTGCAGTTCAGGTAAACTTGTTTGTGGTTTTGGGGCAGGCAGTTTTAGGTCATGTCAACTATGAATTCCATAAAATGCATTTGACGAAAGCAAAAGGGTAGATTTACGGCGTTCTAAGAAACATCAATTAATTTTAACAATTTAATGCACGTTTTCTCTAAAAACGAACAAAGGAGACTCATTTAGTTTGGATTCCTATTTCTGTCTTTATTAAAGGAAAGCTACACTGCCAGTTGTTTTGGTCCAAAAAAAAATGTGGCAATTCAGATATTAACTCTGAAACATTCACGTGCACGCGGGCTGGTCTCAGCCAAAAATGCCAGGGTCATTTTTGAGTGCTAGTCCAGCCTTGGTGATGGCTCGCATCTTGAAAAACCCTGAGGTCGGCTCACTTGAAAGTCAAATACGACTGTATTTTTGAGTCAATGGCGGACTCTGATTAGGTCCCTAATGTAAGAAAACGCAACTTGTTTAATCTTGCTTTTGAAATTTGAAAGTTATGGGTTTTTTCGTACAAGAATGAAATTCTACCCCCACATCACCCAAGGGCCAGCCCCCCTCAGGATTGTTCTATGAAGCTTTCATCATCAAGTTAAAAGTGGGCAATGCCTGAAGTCTCTCACTTCAATCCCAGGCAGGCAGTAGCGAGCGAGCCAAGGACCTCAGGTGAATGCTCTAGTCTCAGAGGGATAATGCTTGCCTTTGAATGGATGGCCTTGTGTGTGTTCCAGGAGCAAAAGCAAATAAATGCGAGAGAGGCAGCAGTGTCATAAGACAGAAGGGCCATTGATGCTCAGTGCTTTGAGACCTTCAAATTAGCTTCTGGCAAATCATGGAAGATTTCCGGGCATTGAGACCAGAGCTTGTGCTCATTTCTCACCATTTTTTTTTTTTATGCGTTCCGATACAGTTACTAGCTTTTTTTTTTTTTTAATTCTTTCCGATACAGTTACTACTTACCTGTTATAAATTATAAAATGTATTTAGTCACATAATCCAAGTAACCTAATATTAAAGTAATGTTAACTGCTAATACTGTTATTACTCTTGAATACTTTAATTACTTCATACCAAATACCAGACATCCATTTTCAACACCGCTTTTCCTGAACAGGGTCACGGGGGGTTGTGGAGCCTATCCCAGCTGACTTCGGGCGGAAAGTGGACTACACCCCAAATTGGTTGCCAGTCAGTCGCAGGGCACATATCCAAACAACCATTCACATTTACATCCACATCGTCACCGATTGGGAACTGATCCCACGTTACCTGCACACAAGTCAGGCAAGTGTACCGCTACACCCTCAGTGACTTCCATCCCAAATAGGTTTTAAAAAAATCCAAACAAACAACAACAACAAAAAAATCAAGAGGATTTTTACATATTTGCCTAGTTTTTCTGTCCTTTGGTTGTTTAATATGCATGGTTTTGGAATGCCGGAGGAAATCTGAGCACCACAATTCAAATCCAAAGCACAAGAACTATGAGGTAGGTAACCATTTGTTCACCATGCTGCAGAGATGGATGGATAGATAGATAGATTAATGGATGGATGTTTTCGAACTATCCTTGAAGGCAACACCTCATACAAATCAATAGCTAGATAGATAGCTAGATAGACATATAAATAGACAGGGTGAACATAGCCAGCTTGTTTCCCGTTTTAAGGTAGCAGCTCCCCTCCTTCTCTTTAAATTCAATGAAGGTGAGACATGTAATCTCCTCGGTGGATGGACTCGCTGTAAGAAGATCGGTGCGTACAATGTACATTTTAAAGGAACTGTACGAAGATCTCCACTTGTGGATGATGTAAAGTTGGCCGCTGTACAGTGAGCATATGGAGACAGCCTTCCACCGCTGTTCGTGCATCCGTGTGTGACAACGCCCACCTCCGCCCATAGTTGTGTCACGGTCAAGTGGGCACTATCAAAAATATATTTTAAGATAACAATAGGAATTAGTTCAATCAATTGATTTCTTCAATGAATCAAAGGGATTATTCCAATGCCCTTTATATTTATGATCGAAATACACTGACGCCCACCACACACATCCACGGAGCTCAGAATCTGTCCGCCTGCATCTCGGTCAAATCCACCAAAATCAATCGTGTTACACCACCTGCACCACAACTTTGACCTGCTTTTATATTGACTCGGATCTAGTCTACTCTCTGTCCACAAACTGTCAGGTGCGCTGTGGGTGTGTAACAGAAGACGTGTGATCTGAAAATGATCGTGCCCCAGCACGAAAATGAAGATGTGACAGTATTTACATTGAGTGAACATTCATCTGTCTATTAAAATAGAGCCCTATATGTCCTCTTTGATAAACTAAATGTACCATATATGAAAGGTTTCCCTGCATGGAGTTGAGTGTTTTGATCAGGCTGTCACCGATAAAAGCCAAATGTGAACATAAGAAAACGCAGCCGCCCCATGAACGCACACTATTTGACACTATGCTCATTTCTGACAATTTTTCTGGAGTAGGATGTCTCGTTTTCAATTTGGGTGATTCTCGCTGGAAGTTTTGAAAATGAGACCTTTAGATGATTATTCCTTTGGAATGGGAGGGATTTTCTCTGTTCGTTATTTTGAAGTGCTTGGCTCCAGTGGAGGCACTCCGCGAGCAAACACAGAGTCTTCAAAGCCTTTCCGCAGAGCCTCTTCTGCAATTTGCAATCATTGCTTTTCTTCAGTGCGTGAATAGCCTCTGTCTCCACTTCCAAAGATGATGAATGCTGTGCCAGATGAAGCCCAACACGGCTGACTGGTTAATCAGATATGCTATTGGCATCGGGGGGAGCGGTAAAGTCAAAACAAATTGAATACAATGAATCCTTGCACTGACACGGGAGAGGGAACAGGTGAACAAAATAAGCTTTTCACCCCTCCGACCCAGTTGCTATATTTATAACGCGCCAAAACAAGATTAATCTGATAACAATGCATCGGCACACGCCGCTCCACACAGCATGGTCTGGTCGGGCGTGGTCTGGTTGGGTGCCAGTGAAAAGATCAGCAAGAAAAGTTCACATCATCAGCAGGATATGTTTTTTAAAATTGGTGCTATCTGTCTCCGGACTTGCCACTTGCCTTCACCTACAAGTCAGTATCTTGGGAGCAGACCAAAAACACACATCAAATTGAAGATTTTTCCAAGCATAATTATTTACACTGTTACAGAGCATTATAAAGAAGACAAACATTTCGTGTTCCACTTTCCAAAAGCAGATTTAAGTGGTTCTATATAATAAATGAGTCTCCAAAAAGCTAATTTTAACAGACAATTTGGACCCGCAACATCACGAGGGTTTCCAAGTTGTTGGTTTAGGTTGCAGAGAAAATCTCTCT